TTTTTTTACTAAGATAATTATAAAAGCATTAACTTTAACAAATAAGTTTAATATATTTGTCATAATTTACTGAACATTTTTTAACGGATTAGGACATGTTTGCCATGAGACACAGCAATACATAAAAATAGAAGTTATAAGAACCAGTATAAGAGTAGCCCATAAAGTCCAAAATAAACATAATCGTATTTTCATCCGAGACGGTGTGATAGTGTAATTGTGATAACAATCTGAAAGAAAGAAAGAAAGAAAGAAAGAAAGAAAGAAATTCTTGATCATTATTATCTATTACTATTATTTATTATTTTTCATAATACTATATTAATTGCAAAATAAATAATAAATGTAAATAAAAACGCGTATATAACTAACAAATAAAAGAAAAAGAACGATTAACCGGCATACCTCTTAAATTTGATTGTTCCATTATGTTTATACTCATACTACCGTAAATCTTCTTGCAAGAATAGCAACAAATCTTGTCGTCGTTGTGTTCCATTCTTTTAGATTTTTAGTTTCGATGTTTCTTCGTAGGATAACAGTAACGAACTAATAAAAACATACGACGAGATAATATATACATATGTATATATGTATGTATATATATATATATATATATATATATATATATAGCTTGGTTTCACTTACAATAGCTTGAGATGACTTATCCTCCTCTCCCGTGCTCTAAACACATCCTACTGAAAGACATTTTTTAGATTGACCAAAATCTTATATGTAGATTAAGTACATTATTGTTATAAGATAATAACAAATGCCATAGTTCACTTTCGTAAGTTTGTAAACATCATGAGTCATATATTCTTGTGGTAATCAATTTTTATGATTTTTTGTAATAGTATTCTTATCTATTTGTAGATAAGTTTAGTATATATATATATATTCATTAATGTTTACCTTTTTACTCATCTATTATAAATAATTCCTTAAGAGACACAGAAATATTCTTGAATAATTTTTTTTTATGAAATTAGGTATAATCATAATATTAGTCCAGTTTATTACTTAAATAATTTTTTCTTTTTTTTTTTGATAAAATTTTAATTTAATTCAATTGACCACACTGTTATTGAAATTATTAGAAGACTTAATGTAAAATAATTGTAGAGATAATTTAAAAAATATATAATTGAAAGTAATTTTTACATTAACGCAAGATAAACTTGTCTTGTTCTTCTCTTCTAAACGAACGTATACCTTCAACTGTATCTATGTTATTGTTAGAGTACTTTTGCATAGGGGCGTCTTGTGAAGTCAATTTATAAATCACAGCTGAATTTGTTTTTATTAACTCGATATGATTCATCTCGTACCTTGTTACAACATCTCAATAATAATATGCGAATATTTCGTTATATTGATAAAGTATAAATTCAGTTTTTTTTAAGTTTTTAGGATTATAATAAAATAATATATTTTATATATGTGATTTGATTTTATTTAAATATTATTATATAAGAAAATTAAAAACTCGGGAAATATTATAACAGTCAATGTTGTGATTAATATAAAGTTAAACGAAGAAGTGGTGGTTAATCCTGAATAGTTATTTGAGTCTGTTGTTGTTTTTGGTTTTTCAGTCGTCGTGGTTTTTGGACTATTTATATCTGGCGTTTCTGGTTTATCAGTCGCCGTGGTTTTTGGACTATTTGTAGTTGACGTTTCTGGTTTTTCAGTCGTTGTACTTATACTCTTTGTCGATGGTGTTCCTGATTTTTGAGTTGTGGTTTCTGTACTATTCGTCGGTGGCGTTTCTGATTTATTAGTCGTTGTACTTATTGTACTCTCTGTCGATGGTGTTCCTGATTTTTCAGTCGTGCTTTCTGTACTATTCGTCGGTGGCGTTTCTGATTTATTAGTCGTAGAAGATGTTGTTTTATCGCTGGGTTTAATACTTGATATAGTTGTATCTGTAGGACTGGAATTTGTATTGTCTGTTGTACTTTTAGTAGATGTGGCAGGTACAGTTGAAGTAGGAGGTAAAGTTGTACTTTTATTCAATTTTCCTTTTAATACTAAAGCAGCATTTGCCGTAAGAATAAAATTGCTTTTTGGTACAGTATTTCTAAAAAAGAATAAATTAATATTATACATCTCAATTTGGTTGGTTAATAAATATTGTTCTTTTTATTTATATATACTCACGTAGTATATATGGCGTTGCTCGAATATACTACAATTTCTAAATTGTCATTTAAATCTGGATATAAAGATGTCAGATTTATTTGTTCTCGATGAATCCACAGGTTCACAATAATTATATATATAGGATGATCTTGCAACGATCTGTATATAAACGTATAATAAAGTAGAATTCATGTTATGTATATATATATACATATATATGTTCTTAATAATTTTAAATATACAAACCGTTTTAAAATAAGTACGTTGTTGTTATTAGTTGATTTAAGTTCATAGTCTCCGTGAGTAAAAACTGGTTGTTTTCTAAGTTCAGCTAATTTTTTATAAGTTTTTAAATTGCTGTGTTCTTGTGCTTTTTGATATTCCACATTTCTAGTGACATAGTCAGGATGCACAGGAAGATATGTAGTTTCATTTGTAGAAAAACCAGCGGATAATTTGTTATTCCATTGCATGGGTGTTCTAGCTGGATCTCGAGAAAAATTTTCATATGTGTCTGATGTTTGACCGCAACCCATTGGATCAATCGTTCTATCCCACGAAATTTTGGAATCTAACATTGCTATTTCTTCGCCATAATATGTATATGCTTGTCCAGGTAGAAGTAAACTAAGCATATGAAGTCCATCGACTCGATTTAATCCAATTCTTGACGGTACTCTCGAGAAATCATGATTACTTAGCTGTAATAATAAAACAAACTTATTTATTTTTTTCTTTTCTTTTTTAAATAATTAACTATTCTACAAGCTATGCATTTTTTTTTCTTACCATCCAATTAGTAGTTGTATTTTCTGGTAGAAGTTGATACCATTCGTCTATTACATTTTTAATATAACTAGCATCTGTTTTATTGTGAATAGGATTGATGAAGCGTACATTAGTAGGCTCAATTCCTTCGTGTGTAGCATTACCATAATAAGCTATAAGTTTATAATCAGAATCATATGATTCTGCTATTAACAATCTGAAAAATAAATTATATGATTGCATTACAATAAAATCATCATTTTGATATTAATTAAGAAAGCAAAGAATAAAACTAACTTTGAAGATGCATTATTTATTTCTATCCAATTGTTGATATAGGCACGAAATACATAAAGAAGCTCGGTACTTTCTTCAAGTCCAAAAGTATAATTACCACTTCCCACAGACGGTTCATTTCGTAATTGTTCATCTTCAAAAAAATATGGTACTGAATCTATATGAAAACCATCTACACCTTTTTCTAACCAAAATTTGAAAATATCCTATATATATATATATGGAAAAATATAATTTATGATTTATTTTTAAAAGCAAATAAAATGTATATAACTGTTTGAAGAATATTTTTTACCATACCAGTATTTCCTCAATGACATTTTTATTTCGTAAATTAAGATCTGGTTGTTTCTCATGAAATTTATGATAATACCATTGCTTTTTAATATTATGCCAAGTCCATGCAGATCCTTCTTTATCTTTATTATACGTGCTTACCTAATCAAACAATATTATCTTGTATTATTTGTTTTTTTATATTATAATAGTATTTTCCAAAATATTCCTATTTAATTATACTTACCCAATTATTAGGTGGTATCTTGTTACCTTCTTTATCTTCTTTTCCATCTGACCAAATATAATAATCTTCATAACCTTCGCGATTATTTACAGATAAAATAAACCATGGATGGTCGACGCTAGAATGATTTGGTATTATGTCTAGAATAACCTTTAATCCTGAAAAAACAAAGTTTACAAATGTTTATTATATAGTAAACATGTAATGAGATTTATCATGGATGTGTATACGTTAAAAATAATCAAATAAGATAGAAATACCTAGGTCATGTGCTTTTCTTATCAACTCATCAAAATCTTCAAATTTTCCAAATAAAGGATTTAAATCTTTATGATCAGAAACATCATATCCACTGTCTACCAAAGGAGATCTATAGATTGGATTAAGCCATATTGTCTCAACTCCAAGTTCTTTAATATAATCAAGCTTATTAATTATCCCTGTAACATGAAAATATGCATTATTTATCAATATAATTATAATATATTTCTAATACATACTTATTTTATCTTAAATTTTTAAAAATAGGAATTTTCGATTATAATATAAGTACTATACATTTGGTTAAAATTAACATTTTTCAAATTTCGCGCCTAAACGCCTTTGCGCCGAAGCGAAAGAGAAAGCAATATGACCGACAATGATTAAATCAGTTATCGAAGCTATCCAATAATTTGTAAGATAAAATCGATAATAAAGGCGTATATTTTTTGTTTCAATTGGTAATTATAAAAATTGACATTCATTATCTTACAACGTGTAATTTTTTAAATTATAAGTTTGTTACAGAACAAAAGTATAACTTTTTTATTGCATGCATCTCATTGGTCAAGAATATAATAGATTTTAATGTACAATATATAAGATTATCTGACAAAATGTTTTTCTTTTTTTTTTTTTTTTTAATTTTTTACTTTATCAAATTTATGATAATAATAATATTTTTCTCTCGTTAAAAATTGTTCGTATAATATTGACAGTAATTATAGTTATGAAGGATTTTCATTGTTAATAAGCTTATATAGAAAGAATTGAGTAAAGGTTATGATATTTAATTAAATATTACTATTAATTATTTTTATTAATATCAATGTTATCAAACTATTTAATTGCATTTAGATTTATTAATATATATATATATAATAATCAGTACGTTTTTTAAAATAAAGTCATTGACTTTTTGATAGAATATATAGATGATAAAAAATGTCCTTTGTCGATAATATAGAGCGCATTTATAAAGATGATAAATGGAGGCGCTGAAGTCGCTCATTTATTCCGTCGATAAAAAAAATTGATCAAATGTAAAACACATAGATTCATTAAATATAGCAATTGAGTGATTGTCTTTTAAACAAATTTATTATTTATTTATAAAACAATCTTACATTCGTTATTATTCGAAATAGTTTTCGTTATTTTAGATTACTTTGATTCATCTTTTAGAATAACCTAACATGTCGATTTTGATATAATGAATTTAATATCAAGATATCGAATTTAATAATCATCAATAATACATAACACTTGATATGTATCTTTGATAATAAGATTATATTTGAAATTAAATTAATTATGTTTTTTTTTTTTTTTCATTTCAAATGCAGTAAATTTCAAAAGAACGTTATTATGTTTTTTTGTTCTATTCGAAGTTTTTTTCAGTATAAAATTTGTCCATTATGGAGAGAGAAAAAGATTTATTAATATTTATTAATAATTTATTTGTATATAGATTTTTCAGTTCGAAAATAACAATTTGTCATTTCAAAATAACAATAAAAATAAAAAAAAAAAAAAATAAAACAGTTAGAAATAAAATAATGAATGATAATTTATTGAACTAAAAATCAATGCAAAGCAGCCATTTTAAGAGTCATCTTCAAAAGTTTTCAATGCGTTAAAAAATTGACGTAATTACTAAGATTTATGTTTTTCTTTTGCAAAAGTTTCACTTTTGAGATTTTTTTTAAATGTAATTGCTGAATTGTTATTTTGACCTGAAAAAATCTATATTTAGAGTGTAGTTTTTTTTTTTTTTCTTTAAATTTGTGAATAAAAAAAAAAAAACGAAAGGATTTATTTAAATTTAGAGAAGAGGATATATGTACGTAAATTTATTACGTGTATCTGATAAATAACATACCTTTCAAATCACCTTCACCATCGCCATTGCTATCTTGAAATCCTCTTGGCCAAATTTGATATACGAGTGTTGTTTCCCACCATTCTTTATACGCTAGATCGACAGATTTGATTCCTCTTGTTAAAATTCCCAAGAGCAAAATCAAACGTAACATCATCGTGCACATTGATTCTGCCATAATCACGATTTGTTATAGGATTGATATGAAATTTCGTCCGTATATGTAGCTTTTGTTTTTGCTTGTTTTTTTTCTTTTTTTTTTTTTTGGCTTGTTTTTACATTTGCGGATTATCGACTATTTTATCGGACGTTTTTGTTTCGATCTTTGGTGTTTTAATCATCGATAGATTGCCTTGTAATCTGCCTGCAACATGAAAAATGTGTTTCACTTTGTCTTTTTTCAACATTAGAGCTTTTTTTTTTTCTTTTCGACAAAATGAATATACTTTATGTACATGTAAATATTTATACATTGAGATATGTATTTTTATTGAAAATTAAAAAATTATTGAGAATATTTGAATGCTTGAAATTGAAAAAAAAAAAAAACAAAGAAATGAAAGTTACGCGATATTAATAAATATTATTAAAAGATACATTTTTCTAACGATAAACGTTTTATGATTACATTTTTATGATCAAATCAAGTCAATTCATTTGATATTTGTTTTTAACATAGACCTAAAATGATTCCCTCGAGTATCGTTAAAAAAACATTTGTAACTGTTTATAGCTAGAATTTACTTAAAAAATATTTAACAGTAGTTTTGTAACTTTATACACAAGTTTAAAAGTATGCATATGAAAAAAATCAAGACAATATTCATCAGGTTGAGAACAGAATTTTATCAGTTATTCGATTCATCGTTAATACTTTATCGTGTTTTCAATGATATTACACAATTATGAATACATTGGTTATAACAAAATATGATGTAAATTGATCAGATTGTTTAAAGCTATATAAAAGTCAGATGGTATTAATAATTATTTTAATAAATAAGAAATAAGGATATTGATCAAGGAGTAATTTACGTATGTCAATTATTAGGTCGAGTCATAAATAACTTCCGTTTTTTATGAGACAAAGAATAGCGTTTCTTTTTATACACTTATATACGTTTTTTTTTACACTCTTTGCTATTGTTGAACGTATCTATTGGATTTTGCTTCAATATTACCTTTAAAAGGTTCGTCAAAGTCGGAAATACGTCCTGCACTCGGTTTATCTTTTAAGATCGTATCTCCAGAACGGAATCTTACAAACCAATTTCTGACTGTCCTATCAGTTATCAGTCCTGCACCGTATACACTGCATATTTTTTCATTTGCCACTTTAGTATTATTGCCTGGTTTCAATTCTTAAAGCATTACATGTCGAATATGCACTTTTTACTATCCATTTGAGTGGTTAAGAAAAACGGTTAAATGTAACATTGACTACATAAAGAAACATGTGTGCAGATCACACGTGTTACAAGTGAAATCTTCAAAAAACTAAGTTTCGAAAGAATGAGATGAATAGAAAATATCTGGTGTAGAATAATTGTATTCTCTTCTTATTTAGTATCGTGGCTGTTTCATTGCCTCCCACCGCTCCGTTACATAGCCGCCTACCGCTCCGTTACATAGCCGCCTACCGTTCCGTTACATTTTTTCAAATGACACCCATTCTAAAGAAGTTTTTACTTGAAAAAGTTGACAGTAGACTAACTGAATCCTCATCTATACAGTGATATCAAAAATTCGTCAGTTTCGGTGACTTATAGTAGATAAATACGAAAAATAGATTCTACATAGACGCATCGGAAGTTACTTATGACTCGATCTAATATTAATATTTTAAAAAAGATTCTATTTTTATTTCATTCAATAATATTTAAAATATAATATTGTCAGTAAAAGGTTGTTCAATTTAGAGTAGAAAGAGAGTTAGGAGCAATAAATGGTAGTAAAAAAGCAAGCATGAGATGACACGCTTGTTAAGATGAAGTTTCCTTGGCATTCTCGATCTTGGCATTCTTCCTAAGTCGTTTTGACGCGCGTTCAAACGATTCTTCTTTCTCTCTCTCTCTCTCTCTCTCTCTCTGTCTCTTTTTCTATTCTCAATCGAGTACGATGTCATGCGATAATAGCTTTATAAAAAAATATTCTTTTTTTTCGCCAAAGATGAATACAGTAATTCAGTTAATACACATTTCGATAATGTATATTAAAACATATACATATTTATAAAAATAAAATACGATAATGTGATTTGACTTACCTTGAAAATGACCCAAAATGATTTTTAATTAAAACAGTTTAAAAAATTATTTAACAATAATTTTCACTTGACAAAATTCGGACCACAATTGTAATCATTAAATTATTTCATCACCTTAATCACTTATCAATAAATAAAATAAACTTTTATTATATATTACAAGATCGCATTATAAATGTTAACATCAGTTATAGATTGACAAAAATAAAAGAAGAAAAAGAAACAGAAAAGAAGAAATCTTTGTGTTATCGACGTAATTTGTAGCAAGTCAGAAACGTTAATGAAAACGAAATTGATCGTTGTGCTTAGCCAAAGCTCCGAGTTCTCCCCACCAAATAAATTTTGACAATTATATCTATCGAAAAACGTTTAAACGTGAGATCCTATTGGTAGGTACTAATAGATAAATTGTAATTTTTTTTTTTTCCTTAATCTATAAACGATTCTCTTTCATATTCGCTTTCTTTTTTTCTTTCACGTGTGATTTTATCGTGTTTAAACGAGTAATAATATCATACAAATATATATATATATATATTATTTTATTCGCAATTTTACAATTAGACAAATAATTAAGCACATTTTCTACTTTTAGCCAATTAACAGATTTACGTCATGGGTTAATTTGATATTTTATTGTATTGGATTGTTCGGAAAGTAGTTTCGTTTGATTTTTGTGAAAAATGAAGACACATTTCGTTTCGAGGTTAAACCTAAGCCTTTCAAGTGAACATAATCTGTTAAATTTGCTAAATTTAACATCTCACCGATTTCACGTGTTATTATTTGCCGGTTTGCATTAATTAATGCAATTTATTGTATCAGAAAAAAAAAACGAAATTACTTTCCGTACAATCCAATACCTATATGAACGTTTGATATTGTATATCTGTGTCTTCTGTTTTTTTTTTTTTTTATATATATATATATAATAATTTAGATTTCATATTTAATTTAAACTATTTATTTATATATTATTTTTTAAATAGATCGTAAAATTGTAATGAATTTTAATAGCGTATTGTTGTAATCGGATAAAAACGAAAATTATAGATACGAATAAATAGTATATTATATATATATATATATATTTTTTTTTTGTAAACTTTTCCAAACGAGAAGACATGAAAAATCAGTTAACAGATAATCTCGAGTAATTTTCCTTATTAGGAGGATAGCCCTAATAAGTTTGAATCGATCGAGATTGTGTAACAAAAAAAAAAAGAAAAAAATAAAGAAATAAAAAATGTTTTTCTTTTTTTAAAAACTCACGATATTGATTGGTAGATTTTGATAAAGAATGATGTCATTACGAGTTTATCTGATAGATTTTTTTTCTTTTTTTTTTTTTTTTTTTCTAAATAAGTTATTCCTTATCACGTATATATTTATATTGAATTTATTTATATATAAAACAAGAGTGTAGACAAAACTTATAATTTACGTTAACACGTTCGTCGCTCAGCTCGTTTCGGTTGAGTTTTTCGTCAGGCCCAAAATTCAACTGTCGGCGCGTCCTAACGTAAAGAAACGATAAATAGAAATATTAACAATGTAACCCCAGTATTATGGTTATATTATATTGAAGTGAAAACTTCTTTAGAATGGGAGTGATCTGAAAAGTAAATAAACGGAAACGCAGCTATGTAACGAAGCTGTGTAACGAAGCTGTGTAACGAAGCTATGAAACGGCTGCTATACTAAATAATGAGAGAAAAAGAGACAAACATATAGGATTTAGCCTGCGAGAGAATGAGACGGAATATAGCTATACAGTTTTTATTATATTTTATTATTATTATTATTATTATTATTATTAACTGGCATTAGGAATTCGAAAGTTCATTGCCGCAAATACCAAATCCCGCCATTGTTCCCGTTCCTGAGCGCAATCCTTCCATTCGCAGTCTTCCTATCCTAATATTATTATTTTTTATTTATTGAAAATAATTTTTTTTTCGAAATGGGAAATGTGATAAGTTTTTCCAATTAAAAATACTATAACTTCAACAAGAAGAGCGTCACCGTATACGGTGACGGGGCCCTCAAAGAAGCATGTCCGTATCTGGTATACGTTATCCATGGCGACGAACGTGTTAAATATTATTTGTCTTTTAATAACACAAAGTGTCTCAAAAGTGACTTTACCGTGAGAAGACAAATTCTAATGGAACCTTAATGCGACTTTGATACAACTCACGAAAAACAAAAATATCGTACAATTTTTTAGTTGGTCAATGAGATTTTTTGGGTTACCCTATATAGATAGTAAAGTCCCCGTTCTCTCTTCCCCGAATAGTAAAGCAATAAAACAACCGTACCATTTTGACAGGTTTTACGATTTTGATTATGATTGTATGCTTGAAAAATGTAAGGAAAAAAAAATGACACAAGCGTGTACTTACTTACTGTGTATGTATGTATGTATGTATGTATGTGTATGTGTACGTTTTATATGTAAACATATTTGAAAAGTTTCGAAACAAATCTATCATTTTGGTCTATCGTGTAATCGATAAAACATATTGAAGATAAGAGAAGACGTAAGTATATTGTATTATTTTATGTATTTACTTTTTGAAGTAATATTTTTATGTTTTTCTTATGCTTAGAGATCATCAGAGAAAAAAATGTTATTCATTTTATCGATTAGAAAGTTCATTATTTTTCATCATCATTTAATCTGACAATGAGTTATTTAAATATCTTTCATAACACTTATGGAATAAAGCTAAGTAGAACTTGTCGTTGTATCAAAGTATTTTGTATGCATATGAAAGGTTGTGTTTACGATTATTGAATTTTCATATTGCCCATATCCATTCTCACATGGTACATTTTTCGTTCTCGTTAATACGCATTTCGTATTGGTGAAAGAGATCACCTATTGGTCGTCGATGATCGTTTTTGACTCGTTAATATACGTCCATAAATATATATGTATATATATATATATATGTTCAAAAAATCATACGTTGCTCTTTTCACTCGAATATCGATATGCGATTATTCGCGTTATACGTTTCAACGAATTTTGACGTTGACTTTTTTCAGTTTATTATACATATATATATATATGTATAATTACGTGTCGGAATATATCACGTCGAATCGTGGCTGCATTTTTAATTAAAATCGCGACTATGGATTTTCACTGATTTGTTAGATTTTTATTATTATTATTGTTCTTTTTTTTTTTTTAAATTAGATTTATATATTATATATATATATATATCTTTTTGTTTTGTTTTTATTTCGATTTAGACCAGTGGTTTCCAAACTTTGTTTTGTCCTATCGCCCCCCTTTCCAAAAAAAACTATTACTTATCACCCCTCCCCCCTCTCCCGTAAAAATTAATTTTTTATTTGCTTTTCCTTTTTTGACCTTTTTCTTTTACTATCATCTTATCACCGCACACTTACAGTTATTCATTACCATTTTGCCACTTCCCCCATTTCCAAAGTTCATCTGTGGCCGTAATCGCCCCCTCCTCGCCCCACCCCTGGACCACTTCATCGCCCACTTTTGGGAAAACACTGGTCTAGACGAAGTTTACGAACATTTGACATGCAGGCAGACAAAAAAAGAAAATATGTCAAAAAAAAAAATAATATCTGTGACGTGTTCGCATTGATTTATCTTATTGTTAGCTTTTGCTGTTAAGTTCGCAACGAGATAAGAAAAAATATTCGCAGTGATTATTTTCTTTTTTTGTTATCACGTATCTTCTCAAAATGATAGAATAATTAATTACGATCGGGGAAGGAGAGGGAGGAGGAGGAGGAGGAGGAGGATGGGGGGGGGAGTTTGTTACGGGAATGCACGTAGAAACGTTAAATGTTTGACGAAACGTAGTATAAACATTTTAGTGTTCGATTAATAATTCGCGGAACTCTTGATGGTTCACTTTAAGCCATTACCACCACCACCACCATCACCACGTGCATACGAACTTTCTTATAGATGTCGCGTGTATATATATATATATATATGTATGTACGTTATTTGAGAAAATGTTGTCATAGTATATATGTACGTATATAACACTTTGGAACATATTATGATAACATTTTCCCTAGGAAACTTTCTACTTAAAACTAGGGAATATGAATAAGAAATAAATTGATATATCGATGTTAATTAACGTTAAATGTGTTGTATATTTTTGCACTTTTGAGTTAATTACAATTGATTTATTACTATTATTATTATTATTATTATTATTATTATTTATATTTAATTTTCTTTCTTAATCATTTAATTCGATCGCATTTGAAAATTTTGAGAGATCATTATAGATAAAATGTATGACTCTCATAATGATTTAACAGCGTGAAGCGTAAAATCGATTGACGATTACTACTCCATACGATATATCTAATAATCGATTTTTAAACATCGCATATAATAGCAGGAATAGGATAACGGTCATTTATCAACTTTTAAGTTGAATTTTGTGATCTTTCTTATTATTTGTTAATAATTTTGACCGTTGTTTTTTAATCATAAAATTATCTTCTTAATATATATATATGTATATATAAATTACATGTTACGTTGTTTGTCCGCAATGAACTCCTAAACTACTGAACCGATTTGAATAAAATTTTGCACACTTTGTGCAATTTCATTCAACTTGAAAGATAGGATAGTTTATATCTCAATTTATCATTCGCAATATTATTTTATTAATCGCGAATTATTATTTGTTTATTAACAAACGAGTCATGATTATCTCTGTTAGTTTGATAAGATTCTAACAGATGGCGATATAAGGTAATTCGTTGATTTAAAGACGTGTGTATCGGACTGATTGTGAGCCACAGCAACGTGTGGCGGGACACCCCTAGTAATATATATATGTATATATTATATACTGCATAATAAAGAGCAGGTATTCGTCTTAACTTTAAGCAGCGTCGTTGAAAACTATCGAAAGTGTGAAATTTTCACGGACATTGATCGTCACGTGAAGTCACTTGCCTTTCTATTATTTTCTTTTTTCTTTTTCTAATCTTCTGTTTTTACGAGGGGAACGTTTTAACAATTTTTTTTTTATTTTTTTTCTTTCTATTCTTTGCCAACAATTAACACGGCATCCGTCTCATGGTCTTTCGC